TAGCCAGCCCCTTAGCTTGGCAGGCCCTTGGTGGCTCCGCAGGGGTCCTGACAATCCTCCAGTCAAAGACAATCGTGGCGCTGCACAACCGATTTGCGCAGGCTGGCCCAGGTAATGGCCTTGGACTCGCGGGCGATGCGGCTGCCCGTATACTTCGTGGACAGAGTCTCAGTCGAGCATACTAGCGTCTAGAGCCCCCAGCCGAAGAGCATAACGACCATGTAAGCGATGTAGGTAGAGTCGGTGACGGAACCCGAAGCGGATCGAAAGTTCAGGCCGAAGCTAATCAGCGAAGCGATGGCGCCGCCGAGGTTGAAGACGACCCAGAAGGGGCCAATCTCGCGTCGTCGCGGGCCTTCATTTGTGTAAGTCACCATGACGGTGCCCTGGGCAACCCAGAAGAAGGCCGCACCAACGCCGACCAGGGCACCAGCGGCGATGACGAAGGGACCGTTTTGGGAGCGGTTGCAGTAAAGCGACGACCCGGCATAGAGCGCATACGTCTAGCCACTTAGCAGAAGGGATGTACGAAGACCCAGATACTTGTAAAAAGCACCCACGAGGAGGAGGGCCGCGCTGGGGGTGCAGGCGTGCGTGGCCATGTAAGAGTTGGCAGCGACAGTGCACCAACCTGACCAGGTCCGCCCATGCCGGTGAGGCCATTACACATGCCTGGGTTGTAGAACAAAGTAAGAGAGGAAAGAACGATCTGTGTCCAAGGATTATGGAGGAGTCTTTCCACCTTGGACCCCTCCGCGGGAGCGAGAACCTCTGTTTCAGCGGCCATCGTGGTCGAGGGAGAAGAGCAGCTGTATCTCAAGTACGTGACGAAGATGAGGATAAAGAGTTGACCAGGCTTGTCGTCGCTTGGTAGAGCCAATGTACCTTTCTTGGGTTACTTTAGCTTCACAGCCATTAATTTTGGATGCGTGCATGAAGTTGATGCTGCTACCGGCGGAGGCTCGGTCCCGATTCTCACGCGGAGCCCGGACACAACGAACGGATCGCGGCACAGATTCTCGTTCGGACAGACCCGGACAGAGCAAAGATCAGGCCGGAGCGTATGCCGGGCCCTCGCCCCGACCTAAAGACGCGAGATTCGATATATTGCGAAATCTTCAGTGGAAAGATGGACAAATGAGACTCTCTGGACGATGCTACCGGCCGAGTGAGGCGCCACACAAGCACCTGAGACACGACGGCAACCCCTACCATGACGTCTTCGCAGGACCCTCATCTGCGTGAGCACGCTCTCAACAGCCTCTAGACAGAGGCTCTCAGCCCCTTGGCTTGTGCCATGGACAAAATGAACACGCTGGATTTGTGCAGGTCCTTCAACCGTGCGGAGGCCAGCGTGTCGTTTGCCGCCGCGGCGTGTCTGACAGCGATCGCGGCATTCGTCGACGACCTTGTCCCGTTGTTACGTTGAAGCGGACGGCTGATCTACGTAGGTGCGAAAAACATCGGGCGTGTCGCCCATATGGACTGCGCAGAGCTACCAGTCACCTTTTCGGTTGATCGAGAGAAGTTCCTTGCTGTGGTAGCGGGCGGGACAGGGGCCGTGCTTGAGGCCGTCGAGGGTGCTGAAGACCTTTTTGACGACGGCGCGGCGAGGATATATGATCTTTGTCTTGTTTTACAAAATACTGTTATTGGCATCTCAGCTTCGGGACGAACACCGTTTGTCATGGACGCCCTGACGGCGGCCAAAACCAACACGCGGCCCTCTCGAATGGGGAGAACGGGCGTTAATCACCCCCTTGTCGTCCCCGTCGGACCCGAATTCGTGACGGGAGGCACTCGTCTTAAGGCAGGCAGCTGCGCGAAGAATGTTCTGAAAGGAGGCTCCACGAGAGAGCGAGACGTATCTTCCGGCAGATATGCGTAGGAAGGCCACTTCCGCGCAATGTCTCTAGAAACATACAGAACCATCCCAAACTCAATGAGTACGCCAGCATCGATGCCCTATTCAAGCGCTGCGGCGGCAGCGTCAAGCTCGCCGGCGCTGTGGGACTCTCTGGTCTGTGCTGAGATGTTACGAAGCGGAGATTAGACGGTGTAGACGGTCATCTCCAGGCATTTGCGACCGGACTCGAGTCAAAGTCGCAGTTCATGATTGGTTGCACGGGTACAGATGGCGAGAAAGCAGAGGGGAACGAATACTTCTTTTGCATAGACGGTGGCGGGACCAAGTGTGCCGTATCTATTGCCACGCGAAGAAGAGGCTTACTTGCTCAAGCAACTGCGGGGGCCTGCACTCTCAACTCAACACCCTTGGAAGATGTCGTTGAGCAGATCCAGTGCGCAATTGCCGCGGCCGCAGTATCAATGCGTCTACCAAGCGACGACCAGAGCCAGCCATGGCCGAGACTTACCAAGGTTTGGGCTAGTATAGCCGGACTACACCACACCAGCCAAGCCGAATTGCTGTCGACTCGCCTCGAACAAGTCTTTGGCGTTTCCGCAAAGAAGGGCAGCCTACGCCTAACGTGCGACACATCGCTGCTTTCGGCGTGTCTCGACGCTGACGAGCCGGCGGAGGGATGTATCGCCCTCTTCGCTGGCACAGGGGCCATGGCAACAGCCTGGAAGAAAAGGCTGTACAAGTCGGACGGACAGGGGGATGGGGCCATCTCGTTGGAGACTAGGGAAGCGCATTTTACATTGGTCAGCAAGCGCTGCGAGCCGTGCTTGGAAACCTGGAGGAGTATCAGAGCGAAGCCAAGCCCCGTTCGCTCAACGGGCTTGAAGCTGCCATTTTCAAGCACCTAGACTACAATCCCAGAGACCTTCTGTCCAGCATCTCGATGCCGGGGGCGGAGCAGTCTCGGCAGCGCATTGGGAGAATATTTAGAGTCGTCGCAGAGCCGGGATTTACAGACGTCGACCCGGGTCCCCAAGCGCTAGCAATTCTTCACGACGCGGCCAGTAACCTTGCGCCTATCGTCAAGCCGCTGGCATCGATGGACATGTGCAACCCATTGAAGAGTATCCTGGTCATGTCAGGGGCCTTGATTAATGTCAAACCGTATCGGGACCTTGTCCTGGATAAGTACATGGCGATGGGCGTCAGCTTCAGGAGGACCATCATTGTGAGTGACGCATTGGTGTACGTGGCCGAGTTGCTCTCTAAGAAGAAAGGTTCCCATATCGCTACGTAAGGATGTGAGAGGGTTGCTGGGTGTTTGCGTTTAGGGTTCAGGATCTAGTAAGCCTTGAGCGCTCGGATCAGCGTCGTCTACGGCACATGCTACTCCCGACGGTTCTCATCTCACGAACCTAGAAGCAGCTCTCCTATTACCTTACGCATCACGGTACGCGTTGTGGTACAGAACTAAGTTCATATACTACCTGTCTTTTGTACCATACGGCGTACATTCGTACCCTGAAAGTAGCGGGCTAGGGCGAAGATTGGCGGCGTTGTGAATGCAAATCTCGGCTGCTCGACTATCATGTCGCCCAGTAATGTGAGGCTCGGCGCAAAGCAGGGCTCGCGGCCAGATTAGTCGTCTGATGGAAGCCTGACAGCATGACTCAAAGGGGGCTTGAAAGTCGAGGCTTAAGATGTGCTACGTGGCGCACGAATTTGTGACACCGAGTTGTGAAGTTCCGACATCGCAGTTCAAAAAGGCTGTTTATGATGGCAAACTCACATTAGTTGGCAACAGCTTGTTCAACAGCCGGGGGACTTCGGGGTTTTGGAGGCTGGGTTCGTTTGTCGGGTCAGCTGGTATTGTGCAGCCCGGTCTACAAAGTGGAAAAAGCCGGATGGCGCGCTGTCCGAAATTCCATGAACGCTTTCTCGTCGAGTCTGGGCTGCAAATTTCAGTGACGAACAGGATCTAGAGCATGCCAGCGTCCCAAGCGATGCAAACGATATCATGTTGATGTCAGAAACAACACGCGTTGATTTCGTTCGGGTACCTGTTTTAAGGCTGCAAGAGACTCCACTGCGATGCATGATGCACTGCACCCCTGCTGTGCTCCCAGATCAGCAATCGAGTGCAACGCTGTCTTCGGGGCTGTGTGACCAACAAGTCGTGCCTTGGGGTCCTAGATTATGCCGCCTATGGGCATTTTCCTTTGTTCTGTTGTCGGTTCCGCAGAAATGGACGCAACACAACAACACCATCAGTCGTCTCCGTATTCAGCTGAGAGCAGATCACCGAGAGCCTCGAGAAGCACTCACAAAGAGAAGACGAAGGCGGCCTCACACGGCGCCACGAATGGAATGTTGTTACTGGCGTCGCCCATTCTAGGGCAAGGCGTGGCAAGGCCGCAAGGTTCGTCATGCGAAGGTGTGAAATTGACAGTTGGTGCCGCCGCCACCTGCCATATGACTCTTCGGAGGAAAATGTGTCAAGCCACGGGGCAATCGAGCGATAATAGCACCATCACTTTTAGTGATCGCAACGCAAAATTTCGACGGCATCTCAGTTCTGTGGTGACCGAAATGGCTTGAGGTGTGTCACGCGAACCAAGCTCAAGTCTGGCAACGAAGGGGGCGAAAAGGAAAATGAAAAGAAGGCTGGCTGCCTGTCGCGCTCGAGGCACCGAGCAGTGAAACGTTACTGGCGCACGTGTGCTAAGCGCTATCGGATGTGCCGCGCGGGGGCTGTTCGGAGCCGCAGACGCCTCCGACAATGGCATTGTCGAGGAGGCCAAATGAGGACTCTCAGCATTAGGAATGCCAGATGTGGACGTGGTTTTCGCCTTTCGAGGTGGAAGAGAGCCCACAGGCAGGCAGCCATGACGGATGAACTGGACCTGCCCTGCACAGACTGCGGTCCTTCCCTCTCTCAGCTGAGCCCCAGCCACAGCGATCGGGTTGCTGCTCCCCATTGGACATCCGCGGGAAGGCGCCTGTGTTTCATTCTCATGCTCCTGCCACTGGCTCGGCTCGCTCAACACACCCCCAGGATGGCGTATCCCGGCAGCAACTGCCACTGGAGCAGCCAAGGAAACTGGAGCAGCCAAGGAAGGCAAGGAGCGACACTCGACTCAATTCGCTCCCCTCAGTTCGGTGTAACATGCACCTGCATCACCTGAGAAGAGGACCCGAAGAGAAGCAAGACCCAGCGACGAGAGAGAGAGAGAGAGGTACCTCGACCCCCGGAGGACAAGACAGCCAGCCCCATGAAGCCTCTCTTCTGCCACCTGAACCCCCGAACCTCGCTTCCATCCTTCATGATTCTTCACGCACTGCAGACCTTCAGCCACCCAACAAGCTCTAAAGTTTTCTTTGTGCACCCCACGCAGCCAAGAGTCGAACTTCTTCACGAGGCAGAGCCAGATCTTACCTCGCGGCGGTATGACGACGCTCCTTTTCGAATGGCATTGATGAGGCTCTGCCGACCACTGCGTCTGGTCTCTATTTAGAGTCGCATCAACCCGGGACCTTCTGTCGGCGTTCAGTACATGACACACACACACGCATCGCACATTGCACATTGCTCCCTTCTCCTCTATTCATTCGTCTTGCCTTGATCTCATCGTACGTGCCGCTCGTACGGCGTCATCAACACGACAAACCCACCACCGCCTACTACAGCCTGAGCCACCGCCACTGATCCCCAACGTCCAAACCCCCGCCATCGACATGGTCGATCGGGAAGAGATCCCCCGCGATGGCATTACGTGCGTCTATGCCCATCCTGACGCGCAGGCGGACATTGTCTTCCTCCATGGTCTCAACGGCAACCCCACAAGGACGTGGACTGCCAAGGACTCGGCCGTCTACTGGCCTGTCGACTTGCTGCCCAACACGCTCGGCCCCGACGCTCCAGT